CAGGGGGATAGCTTGAGGCTCCGTCTCAAAAAAAAAAAAAAAAAAAGAAAATGCCCAGTAGAAAAATGTGCAAAGAGTCAAAGAGATATTTCCTAAGTAGAAACCCTAACAGCCAGTAAGCAAATGAAAAGATGCTTAACTTCTCTAGTAATGAGAGAAATGCAAATCAAAACCACAGTCTGCCATTCTGTTGTTGGAAAGGATTGAAACGTAGAGTGTTTTACTAGCTGGTATCATGTAGTAAAGTTGAAGAAGTACAATGATTGTTCTTGAGTTATGTCTGTGCCCTAGAGAAATTCCTATTTACTTGCACCATATACTAATTCCATTCAAAGAATGTTCATTATGTCCTTAAACTGCCAGGAACTCAAATACTCATCAGTAGCATTCGTTCAGTGGAAAGCTAAAGGTCCACATGCACCAGTGCAGAGAGATTTCATAAACATAATGGGGAGTGAGAGAAGCAGTTACAAGGGAATATAACCAATGTTCATTTTAAAAAGCACGCCAAACTGAACTATTTAAGAATACTTATGTAGTTAGTAAAGAAAGAAAAGGAAATGGTTTTCACAGAAGGCAGCACCATTTCCTCAAGGACGTGAGATTGGAGAGGGCCACAGGGCTCCTAAAGCACCTGAGTGTGTTTCTTAGCCTGTGTGGTGGTTAGACTGATCTGGTATAGTATTCTTAAGTGGTATACATGTTTTATACTGTATATGTTGATATGATATGTTTTATAATAAATTGGCAACAAAAAGAAGGTTGAGGCCTTTATTGCTGATACACATTCATCTAAAATAAAATAAAAACAAATTTTCTGAGTAAAATTGGAATTGAAGGAAACTTAAAATATCTTAAAGCACATTTGCCCCAAATCACCAGCAACCATCAAATTAAACAATCATATAGTGTAATCATCTCCTTCCAAACAGGGTGAACAGAAGCACCGGCTGAGCCCCTCTTGTTCTGCGTTATTTTGGTGGCTACAGCTGATGTTGTGAGGTGGGAAAGCAAAGCAGAATAATTATCAGAGAACAAAAGACAATCATCTTTATCTATAGGTATCTTTATTTTATTAGTGACAACTCAGGTGACTCTGCTATTCTAACTCCTAGAATTATCGAGGTTCTGGTTTGATAAATGAAAAGATAGAAGACAAACATGGAAGAATCAGTGGCTTTTCTGTAGCAATATTTCTGTTGTGAAATATGAAGGAAATTGTTTTCTAAATGAAAATAAACTATATCCGTTCAATACCCATAGCCCAGTGGTTATGGCACTGGCCACATGTTCTGAGGTTGGCAGTTTTGAACCTGGCTCAGGCCAGCTAAACAACCATGACAACTGCAACAAAAAAATAGCTGGGTGTTGTGGCAGGTGTCTGTAGTCCCAGCTACTTGGGAGGCTGAGGCAAGAGAATTGCTTAACCCCAAGAGTTTGAGGTTGCTATGAGCTGTGATGCC